TGGAGCGGGGACACCTGCACCAGCACCCTGGTTGCACCGTTGCTGCGGATGAAACTGGTGGCTGCCCCAGCAGTCCAGCCCTTCAGCTTTCATCTGTGATCAAAGGGAAATATTTCAAGTTAAAGTAAAAACCAAGTTAATTCTGAATTTCATTCCAGTTGGAAAGCAACTGCCAATGCAATTTAACCGTGGATTCTTATCAATATTGCAAAATCAGAAAAAAACCCTTTTAATCTAGAATAATATACAACCAAACTGACTTAATAGCTGCCTAACTTTCAAGATGTATTTAGAACATACGCATCTTCTTCAGCTCCTATTTAAAACAAGAAAACCCTCAAGCCAAAAGCTTACCAAAATTAAGCAAAAAAACCCTAACTTCTCTATGGTCTCAGTAAGCAAGCAGCTAGTAAGAGTACTTATCCTTTTCTTACTATTTTTAAATTCTCTTGAGCATTTCATGACTGACATTAGATTTTTGTTAGCGCTGTAACCCCATTTCACAGTTTCTTAGTACTCACCATCACTGTTCTCAATTAGTCAAGATCGCAAATTCCTGATAACCCATTTTAAAGAGGTGATTCACATTCACAGCAAAGCCAGTATATCTGATGAATATATCTGATGGACATCAGTGATTCCAGGGTGGGTAAACAAAGACTAAAGATATTGAACTACAGTATATTGTAAGTTTTCAATGCTTTATATGATAAGAATCAGCATCAGAAACAAAGATGGTCAAGAACAGAAATTTAAGAAACTTTTGAGTGTATTTTTCCCAAAAGCACATATTGTATATGGGATATGCATTATGTATATGGAATATGCACCTTGGAAATTACTGTTTCCATAAAGATTGTTCTTACTTCTTTTTAAATATCTGCATGTATGACATTATGGATTGAAATTTCCCAACATACAGTTGCAAAGGGTACATCAGCGTCACAACTTTTTAGAAGTTTTTAACTGCAGCATGACAACATCACTTTCCAGCAATTCAAACAGAGGTTTTCCTAAATATTTACGTTTTCCTAAATATTTAAGTGGCACACACAAATCTACAAGAAAGAATATTAACTCAAGGTTAACAGAAAATGCAGAATTTAAAAGTCTGTTTTCTTGCTTACATCACCGCCTGTCCACCAAAAGCTCTTTTAAAAATAGCCTTAGGGGCAGATTGTTGGGATTTTCTGTTAACGACATTAGCCTTGCAAGAAAAATGATTAACAGCTGGCTCTCAATCTGTGTGATCTTAATCATTAGAAAGTAAGCAGTAATGTCTTGTTTAATTACTGCAAGCACACTGTGTCATGAGCTAATTAGGAATGATTGATTATTGTCATCCTCATGCACCTCTCAAAACATCAGACAAATATATGAATCCTGTAAAGCATGTTTTGAAAATGAACTTTCAGCATGTCTTGTTGAATAAAAATTGCCCTCTTAAAAATTCTAATCAATGTTGCATAATAGTGCCACATAGTTGAATATGCTAGAATACAATACAGACTCCACCCCAGAAAACAGCCAAGGCACAAGCCATTAGAAAAACTGCCCAGTTTTGTTTTGATTTAGGTAATATCTTCAAGTAAATTGCATGCTTATTACTACATCTCATATTTCATGCAACCAGACAGTAGCACAGAATTAAATAGCCTAAGAATGCAAAGATGCTCCTATGCTTACACAAAAAATCAGAAATTTCACACTTCAAACTAAACCACTTAGCAATAGACAAAAAAGACCGCAAGAACATTCTCTTTGGAGACTACTTAAGAAACAGCTAAAAGATGCTCAGAAAATTAATATGATCACTTCTATCACTGGTACCATGCAGCTTACCCCGGTAGGACTTCAGCTGGTTAATAAATGTTCCTGTTGATATATCAAAAGGTAAATGAAGGTCTCATTAAGAGACAGCCACCCATTTTCTTAACCTAGAGTAACTGACTATGGACAACATAAAGGCATCACATTTTTTGTAATGGAATAGCATGTTTTGATTCATCCCAGTTCCGCTATCCTTGTCCTTTCTACTGATACAGGGCCACCACATTCATTATTTTTCAAGCTTTTGCATAAATTTTTTTTTCTATTCTATTAAACTGTCTTGAGCTGTTCTGCCAAAACCAACTAACCAAAGATATATTGAACTATTTAATTTCTGAATAAAGTGGGTGTAAATATTTCTAGCTTCTTTCTAAATTTAAAGTGGCAAAATTAAATTCTATGGTTTCATCACCCTCATGTGAATTCTGCAATGGCAAAGAAATCCATACACCTTTATAGTAAGAACTGCTCATACTGTATTGGTTTCTAGCGCTACTGGACATAGCAAGATTTAGGCAAAGATTAATCACAGGAGTACAACAGGATTTAAAATATAGTTCCTAAGCATTCAAGTAAGCCCAGGAAAAAAAAAGGCGGGGGGGAACCCCACCACTCTTACATCTGTAGTTACTGTTTCTACAGACCAGTCGCTCAGAGAAACCCAGAGGTTAGAAGTGAAAATCCTTTTAGCCATGCATTTGGCTGCTAGCTTAGAAAGAAATGCGATAGTCCAATTTCATGCTTTATCCAAAGACTTAATGGCATGTTTAAGTTTAACCTCTGCTAAACTTTCTTCTAGTCTGGGCTGCAGCTCTTGAACATAATTGTGATGATCAGTAACTTTTTAATACTTTCTGTATTTAACAAACAGAACATTTCTGAAGTACAAACTGGTTGAAACACTGAGTATGGGAGATAACTTTTCAATAAGAAAACAAAATTATTTTAATTACTGAAATTAACAAAGAAAAACAGAATTTAGATGCATTATAGAGGAGAAAAGGATAAGCTACATAACAAGACAAAAAATAAAACTGTATTATATTTCTGAGCCTCTAGAAAAAGCAGTGGAATCAGCACAGAATGGCCAAATAAGACAGGAACCAAGCAGGATGATGGCAAGTTTTTAAGTTGTTACACTTTAGATGGCAATCTCATATTCAAAAGCAAAAATCAGAGAAGCTAGACAGCCATTATTAAAAAGGGAAGCAGAGTCTTATTTATAAACTGATTGCATGTCATGTCATGTAAAAAGATGGAACAGTCTGTTTACACCCAAATTTCAAAAGCACTATGTCCTGTAACAAGAGTCCGTTACTGACAAACGCGTACACTAGCATTCTGTTCTCAAGGGAGGTTCCTTAGGAATAATGTCAACAGAAGAAATCCAAAAGGTATACCTACATATGTAATTTGTATATAGCTGATTAGTATGTTACAAAATTTAAAAAGAATGGGATTTTTCAAATGTCTATACAATATTTCAATCAATTAGTTTCTGAGCTTGCTGGGACTGTTCCTTGCTTTTAACTGTTGCTCTCCAACACCAGCAGTATGTTGAAGTCATTCCAGTGCCGTAGCAGAACCACTGCCAGATTATCCTAATGATATTTCACAGCAAGAAGCCAAAGGAGATAACATGTACATAAGCACAAGCGTTTTGGTGGTGGGACAGCATGAATCCAAAATCCTGTGTTAGGTATATTTGAAGCATATTTATGAAAGGCTTGTGCTGGAAAAAGGTATACGATCTTAAACAAATTATCAACAGTTTCACATTTCTATGCAAGTACAAAAGTTAGATTTGGAGGGCAAGAGGCAAGATTGTACTTGGTGAAGGAAAGCAGAAAAGTAGAGGTATGGATATGGAAAGACGGGAATGGTTCTTGGTGTAACAGTGTTACTAGAGAAGAAGAGAAGACAGTAAGAACAGAAAAACAGAGGAACTAACAGTAATAACAGGGGAAAAGATAAACATGAAAGAAAAGTAGTCTTGAGGAAAAAACGAAAAAAGGCAATTTTTAAAACTTGCATCCTTAAGAGAAAGAGTAGCTGCCCACTGACAAACACGTCTGGTTTTGGCAGGATTGATCACCAGAGGTTAGTAAGCCACAAAAGAATCCGACACATTAACTCTGTTCAGAGTTTGTATTAAAAATCTGTGTGAAAACTGGAAACAGAACTTACAAAGCTGTATTTGGTGAAAGTTCTATCCAAAATAATCGCAAGTGCAGCTAAACAAAAAGCCCATAAAACACAGCTGGTGGTAAACAGGATCCTGCCTGAGGTTTGCCACTGCTGCTCCCAGTGCCAGCAGGCTCACTGGGATGACCATCAGCGTAAACTGTGCCACCGCTTCCTGCTGCTTCCTTCTCCA